AAGATCTGCTTTATTTAGAGCTTTGACTAAAAGGCTAAAACAGGCAAACTGTTAATGCCAGATGAATTACTTCCGATATTATCTAATTGTATCTATTGTTAGTACATTTTCGTGGAAAGGGATCATTGTTTCTGTCGTGATGTAGATTGTATCTGTGCCATTTTGCAATGATAAAGTATATAATTAATTCTTCTGTAATAATAAACTGTGAAGTGTTAGCTCTAATAAATTTTAAAGAAAGAGTTTATTTGGTGGAAATGAAGTTTCGTCAATAGCACATTGTGCAAGTTCAAAACATTCCACTTCTTTGAGTCTGAGTCTTGCCGGGCTCTAAACATTTTCAAACACATCGCGCGAAATGCGCGAGTTGTGATCCAACGCGTTCTAGTTCTGAGCGCACCCGCGAGGTGGAGCCACTTGACTCCACAGGACCTCAGCTTTGGTTGCCTACGCGGAAGGGGCCTGTCCCTCGTCTTCCCTTCCCTTCCCCCTCCTCTTCCCGAGCTAGCGAGCGCCCGCCCCGCGCTGCCGCCTCCGCCTGCCGCCGTGCCGCCAGTCGTCCAGTCGCTCTCCGGGTCCCGGCCGGTGTGGTCGGTTGGGTATGTCGTAGCATGCCATAGCCTCTGCGACAGGCCCCTGGACGGGACGGCCCTGGCGGGTACGAGGGTGTGTCAACACGACACCGGCAGCGAGCCACCCCTGTCAGCGCGCCGAGTGACATGTCGATTGTGAAAGTGCAGTGCCTATGACGGGGACTCTCTGTCATCACTAGAACTCTAATTGGATACCTTTTGAACTTTGACCCGTGGATAATTGACCTTTGGGAATATGACATCTAACGGATTCCACGCCATGGGTGAGTACTTCGACGTGTGGTTGTTGTTCGCTCTTACCTTGCGATTTGGGGGTGAGTCGGTGCGGATTGATTCGAGTCGACTCGATCTCTCGTCTGGGGTGGGGTGGCGGCGAAAAGGAGAGGGTGAAGTTTTGGGTGGGGTCTGCTGTCCGGGTGGGAAAGGCAGTTCCGGCGTTGTGACAGCCCTGCAGTTTGACACCCAAATAATTGATATATTTTGCAACAAATTATTCTGTGCGCAAACTGTTGTTGCATTGAGAGCATTGGGTGCCGTGAAGCACCTTAATTTTTTTTCGTAAGGCCGCTTGAACTTCCGCACTATGTTTGCGGATAATCTTCGGTCGTCAGGTGTTGGCCATCCCTCACTTCGGAGGGTTTAGTCACAACATCCCTCGAGTACCTGGAGCCACCGGAGTACCGGGGGGTTGCTCGAGCGGCGCCGCTGCATCCCTCCTGGCCCTGGGGTCCTCATTCATCGCCGCAGTCGCGGGTACCCCTCGGGGGTACTCCCTCCCTCTCTCTCTCCCGAGGCCCCGAGCCCGCAGCTCCACCCCGCTGAATGGGGGCGCGGCTGGCGCGCCGCGTCTGTTCAAGTTGTGTTGACGGGGTGGGTGGGAGCGGGAGCCACGGGTGGGTGGAGCGAGCGACAGAGTGCGAGAGGGAGCGAGCGAGTGAGAGAGAGAGAGACTGGAAGACGAAGGCAGCGCACTTGGGGGTGCGGGGGTGCTATCGACCGCCCGATGCATGTGGAGTAATAACCCCTCCTGCAACCTCCCTCCATTCCTCCCCCTCGGCCGCGCGCAGCGCTGCTGGGCCTTCGCACGGA